CATGATGGCCTTGGGTTCAGAACTGGTTGATAATCGATTGTCTGCTGTTGATAATCGATTATCATGCTGTGCAGCTTCTGTCCCCAAAGTCCTGCAGACTGTGATAATCGATTGTCACCCTATGACAATCGATTGTCAAGTTGGTTTATCTGGAAAGTCCTACGTTCAGAGAGACCTGATAATCGATTATTGCCTGTGTGATAATTGATTATCAGTGAAGCCAACTCAGACCCAAGAATCCGCAGGGCCTGATAGTCAATTATCGCATATGTGATAATCGATTATCACGCTGTGCTGAATCAACTAAGGAGTCCAGCTGGCCTGACAGTCGATTGTACTATTCAGTAGCTCGATTATCAAGACACGCTGACTTCCATTATATCTGTTTGTTTGTTATCAAAACGTTGGAAGTTTTAGAAACGAATGTTTATATATCCATGCTAGATAATCGATAGACTTACAAGGTTTCAAAACATTTGTATTAACGAGCACTTAACTTGATAACATGGACACACGTATGTTGGATGGTTAACCTACGAACATGCATAGATTCTACGTAGGTTGCGTACGATATTCCTACGAATTTAACGACATAGATTATAACTAAATGTTCTAGCATTAGAGGGACAACCACTCACCTATAAACGAAGGGACTGATGGAACGAGATGAACGAATGGCGCCAACGAACGGACAAACGACGACTACGCTTCGCACGAACGCCCTAGCCCTTCTTCTCCTTAAACCTTGCACCCGCCGGAGCTTCGCCGGAGGTCCTCCTTGCTGGTTGTCTCGCCGAATGAAGGGGAGAGGAAGAGAGAGTGAGAGGGGTTCTTGGGAGTTACAAAGTGGAAAGACAAATGAAGGGAGAGATGGGGGTTTTAATTTAGAGTAATGATTAGGAAATAATGGTGATGGTAATGATGGGGGTTAAGGGTGGCGTATGGGATTAATTGGGGGGGGGGGTTACAATCTTTATTCTACTCCGTTATGTAAAGTCTGACCTGAATGGTACGCGCTTTTCCCCCAAACGGGTCCGAATTGAGATCCGTTTGCACTTCTGGAATCAGACAGTCAAAACGAATTTAATGATATGATCAAATAATTTTTCTAAGAACTTTTCATTTTCTCCAACTCCGGTCCGGAAAAGTAATTTATTAATTAAATTAACCAATTCTATTAGACCGGGTTGCAGGGCGTTACAATTATCCATCCCTTAAGAAAATTTCGTCCTCAAAATTTACCTGATCACTGGTCACTGAAAAGATGTGGATAACGAGTGCGCATGGATTCCTCGGTCTCCCATGTCGCCTCCTCGACGGTGTGACTTCTCCAGAGAACCTTGACCAGCGGAATGGTTTTGTTCCTCAACTAACGGACTTCGCGAGCCAGAATCTCAACCGGCTCCTCCTCGTATGTATGATTCTCATCAAGTGTGACTGTATCAGCTGGAATCACATGAGAAGGGTCCGACCGGTACCTCTGGAGCATGGACACGTGGAATACATCGTGGATCTTGCTCAACTCTGATGGTAACTCGAGCCTGTAAGCTACAGGTCCCACCCGTTCAGTGACGGGGTATGGGCCTATAAACCTCAGACTCAATTTTCCCCTCTTGCCGAAACGTAGGACGTTCTTCCAAGGTGACACCTTCAAGAAAACCTTATCTCCGAATGCATACTCGATGTCACGCCTCTTAAGGTCGGCGTAGGACTTCTGTCGGTCCGAAGCCGCCTTAAGTCGATCCTTAATCACCTGGACCTTCTCCTCGGTCTCACGAACAAGATCAGGCCCTTCCAGCCTCCTCTCACTGAGCTCTGTCCAACAAGTAGGGGTACGACAGGGTCTACCATACAGAGCCTCATATGGTGCCATACCGATGCTAGCCTGGTGACTGATGTTGTATGCAAACTCCATGAGTGGCAGGTATCACTCCCAACCATCCCCGAAGTCGATTGCACACGCACGCATCATATCCTCGAGAATCTGAATCACCCTCTCCGACTGACCGTCTGTCTGAGGGTGGAATGCCGTACTGAAGTGGAGATCAGAGCCCAATGCCCTCTGTAGGCTCTTCCAAAACTGCGATGTGAATCGAGGATCACGATCAGAAATGATAGATGATGGAACTCCATGTAGCCTGATGATCTCGCGGATGTACAACTCTACTAACCGCTGAAGTGAGAAGTCACGATGTATGGGTAGAAAATGTGCTGATTTGGTCAACCGATCAATGATGACCCAAACCGTGTCGTGCTTACGTGGTGACAATGGCAGTCCCACGCTGAAATCCATCGTGATCCGATCCCACTTCCACTCAGGAATGCTGAAGCAATCCCGAAGGAACCTGGTGCTCGGCCTTGACCTGCTGACAAGTCAAGCACCGTGATGTGAACTCTGTGATCTCCCGCTTCATCGCGGGCCACCAGTAATGTCTCCTAAGATCCTGAAACATCTTGTTACTGCCCGGGTGCATGGTATAAACAGTGCTGTGTGCTTCACGAAGCAGGCGTTCTCTCACCTCCCCCGCTGGCACAACCATACGCTCCCGATAGTACAAGATACCCTCACGAACTGCGAAATCCGGCTTCTCTCCTCGAGAGATGAGCTCAACGGTATGGATACAGAAATTATCGCTGCTCTGGGCTGATGCTATCTGCTGCTGTAATGTGGGCTTGACGTGTAACACAGCTAAAGTCTTCCGACTAAGGCCATCGGCTACCACATTCGCCTTACCTGGGTGGTAAGCGATGTGACAATCGTAGTCCTTAATCAACTCTAACCATCTCCTCTGTCGGAGGTTCAGATCCTTCTGTCTCAACAAGTACTGAAGACTCTTATGGTCGGTGAAGATACGCGTCGTCTCACCGTAGAGGTAATGCCTCCAGATCTTCAAAGCAAGTACAATAGCTGCTAGCTCAAGGTTGTGCGTCGGATAATTACACTCATGTGGCTTCAACTGCCGAGATGCATAAGCAACGACCTTGCCCTCCTGCATGAGAACACACCCCAAGCCGTTATGGGATGCGTCACTGAAAACCGTATACTCCACTCCTGGAGTGGGCTGGACTAGAACTGGTGCCTGAGTCAGACACTCCTTCAACTGCTCAAAACTCTGCTGACAGGCGTCAATCCAAACGAACTTGACGTCCTTCCTCATCAACATGTGCAGTGGTGACGCTATCTTGGAGAAGTCCTTCACGAACCGGCGATAGTAACCCGCCAGTCCGAGAAAACTCCTCACCTCTCGTGCATTACGCGGAGTCTTCCACTCCGTGATCGCTGCTATCTTGCACGGATCTACCTTCACACCTTCAGCCGAGATGACATGGCCGAGGAAGGTAACCTCATGCAGCCAGAACTCGCACTTGGACAGCTTAGCATAAAGCTGCTGTTCCCGAAGAATGCTCAAGACAACGCGTAAGTGCCCGGCGTGCTCCTCCTGTGTCTTTGAGTACACCAAGATGTCATCAATGAAGACCACAACAAACTGATCAAGATGCTTCCGGAACACACTGTTCATGAGATCCATGAACACTGCCGGTGCATTAGTCAACCCAAATGGCATGACTGTGAACTCATACTGACCGTATCTAGTGCGAAAAGCCGTCTTAGGAATGTCTTCCTTCTTGACTGGAATCTGATGGTATCCTGATCGGAGATCGATCTTAGAGAAGACCGTGGCTCCTCTTAGCTGGTCGAACAAATCATCAATGCGTGGTAGCGGATAGCGATTCTTGATAGTGACTTTGTTTAACTGACGGTAATCGATGCACAACCGCATCGATCCGTCCTTCTTGCGGACGAACAGAACCGGTGCTCCCCAAGGGGACACACTGGGACGAATGAAGCCCTTATCTAGCAACTCCTGCAGTTGAGCCTTCAGCTCCTTCATCTCCGCAGGCGCCATGCGATAAGGTGTGATTGAGATCGATCCTGTTCCTGGAACACGATCAATGGAAAACTCTACCTCCCTAGGGGGTGGTAGACAAGGTAAGTCATCTGGAAACACATCAGGAAAGTCACATACCGTAGGGATGTCCCCCCCTACTAGGCGCCTCCTGACGAGTGTCACGCACTGTGCACAAGAATGCTTCACAATTCTTGCGTATGAGTCGACGAGCATGAATATAGGAAATGAATTCTGGAACTTTTGGAAGAAGCTCACCATGGATCAGTACGTCACTACCGTCTTCGGCTCTCAGTCGAACAGTATGAGCTCCACAGTCAACAACGGCTTGGTTGGCGGTGAGCCAATCCATGCCTAGAATAACGTCAAACTCACGATGTGGAAGCTCAATGAGACTCGCAGGGAAAATCTTTCCCTGGACCACTAATGGGCAATCGTGATACACATGGGTGAGTCGTAGACTGTGTCCCAATGGGTTGGACACTAATACCGGATTGTCTAAATTTTCCCTCGGAAGGTTAGGCATAACAGGCATAGGCATACAAACATATGATAAAGTGGAACCCGGATCAATCAAAGCTGTAATAGATGTATGGAATAAGGTAAACATACCCATGATGACGTCATGGGCTGGCTGCTCGGTACGCCCTCGCATCGCGTAAGTACGGGCCAGGGCCTTCCCCGCCTGAGCGCAAGATGCCTGCCGCTTGGGCTGGCTAGATGTTGCCGCCGACTTCTGACTCTGGGCGGGCTGCGCTGCCGGGGCTGGAGCGGCTGGTGCGGTCGAGAATGCCTCATCCGGATTCTTCGAACAATCTTTTCGGAAATGCCCGGCCTGGCCACACCCAAGGCACAAGCCAAGAGTGTACCAACACTCCCCTGGGTGCCTGCTCCCACAATGGTCGCAAATCGGGTTGATGGTCTCGCAGGGAAGTTCAGATTCACACTCATCGGAAAATTCAGAAGACGGCCACCACTCTTAGTCCTTCAAAATTTCTTAAACCGTCTCGGTTTCTCTGGCGATTTTACGGTGGGGGAACTATTTTCTAATAGTTTTCTCATTAACTTTGAGCGTGATGAAGATTATCAAAGGTTCTTCTACCGAAAAATCTGGACACTTGGAAAAGACACGATGTATGTCACTAAATGGTCTCCAAACTTACGGCAAGATGAAGACTCCCCGGTTGTTCCAGTATGGATCTCCTTCCCTCACTTACCCATCCATCTTCATGAGCAAAGGGCCCTCTTCAATATAGCTTCCATGTTGGGAACTCCTTTGAAAGTGGATCAAGCCACACTCAACTTCACCAGGCCTAAATATGCTAGGGTTTGTGTTGAAGTTGACGTCTCAAAGCCCCTACACCAACGCATCCATATCAAACATGTGGATGAAGATCTTTTCTTCCAGGTCCAGTATGAAGATCCACCAGTTTTCTGCAACTCTTGCCGGAAACTTGGCCATAACCTCCATTCATGCAAGCTGGCAAAACCCATGGTCAGAGAACCCCTCAAGGATCAAGAAATCCATAAGGTACATGACAAAAACCCTGCAGCTGTGCTAGATGGCTGGACTACAGTTCAACGTAAGGGGAAAGCCCCTGTCAATCCTCCAGCCAGACGAGAAAATCGACGAGAAGATACGTCCAACAAGGTTCCTCAAAAAACATGGGTCCCCAAACCCATAATAGATTATAGCCAACTGGAAACTTCCAAAAGAGGTGAACATAGAGGCCCTACTTTTATCCAATCCACCACAACTTTATTTTTGGAGCCTTCCGGTCTGGTGCATTCCCACTTACCACTGCATGCAGAAGTACATGAAGCTGTCCCCGTGGCCAACTCAGAAAGCACTGCAATACAACCCATCCCTCTTGAAGACACATCAGAAGCAGACATCCCTCTCGAGGACACATCAGAAGAAGACATCCCTCTCAAAATGACTTCCAGCTCAGCCCCACCTTCTCCTAAGGCTAAATCTCACACGTCTAAGGTGTGTACACGTTCAGGTTTCAAGAAATCTGGTAATGGAATTCTCCTCTCCCTTTAATGATCAGAGTTCTTTTCTGGAATATAAGGGGTATGTCACATAGGTGCAAGAACATAACCCTTATGAATAAGCACCATTCCTTTGATTTCCGTTTTATTATTGAACCTATGCTTAACCTCAATAAAGTTCAGTCCTATGCATTAAAACTTGGCTTCAATGGTTTCCTTAGCACCTGCAACAACAGAATTTGGTGTTATTGGAATACGGATAATCTTATTTATCCTGCTCATCAAGAACACTCTCAGATTACTCATTTCAATATGACAACTAAAGGGGGAAACTTTTCGTTTGTTATTAGTGGTGTTTACGGTTCCCACACTACTGGGTCTAGGAAAGCTCTTTGGGATAACATTAAAAGTTTCAATGAATCTAACTCCTCTCCTTGGCTCCTTGGAGGTGATTTCAATGCCATCTCTGACATCCTCCACCACAAAGGCAAGAAACTCCCAGACCTGGAAGGAGTGGAAGACTTCCAGAACTGCATCTCAGACTGCAACCTACTTGAAAGTAGCTTCACAGGTCCTTGTTTCACCTGGCACGGAGTGAGGAGCAATGGGAAAATTTGGAAGAGGCTTGATAGGGTTTTCTTCAACGAAAAATGGGCTCATTCTTGGTCGAACATCACTATGCAACACCTCTCAAAAGGGGGCAGTGACCACTCCCCAATTATTACCACATCCAAGAATGAGGTGGCCCAAACACCAAGACATGTGGCTTCTCGATGGGAATTTTAAGAAACTTTGTAAGATATGGTGGGAAGAAATCCCCTACTATGGGGGTATGAAATGCCTTTTTCACAAACTCAATCACCTCAAGACTAAGATATCTACTTGAAATAAAGAAAGTTTTGGTAACATCTTTGACCTAGTTCAAGAGGCAGAAAAAGAGGCCAGCAAAGCGGAGATGGATTATGAAAATGACCCCTCTGAACACAACAGGGAGATTGCCAACCTAAAACAGGCCCAACTCATCCAAATTGGAAACAAAGAGCACTGCTTCTGGAAAAAGAAATGTAACCTTAAGTGGTTTAAAGATGGAGATGCTAACAGTAGTTTTTTCCACTCTCTTGTCAAGGATAGAAGAAGACATCAAAGAATCCACTCCTTGAAGGATGACGATGGGCAAACACAGAATGATCCACTAGTACTGGAAAGCATGGTGATTTCCTACTACCACAACCTTTTCAACAACACTGAACCTCCCCCAGCTGAAGACACATACGAAGATTTCCTTTCTTCAATTCCAACAATAATTGATCAAAACCAAAACCAATTCCTCATGCGACTACCAACTGAAGAAGAGGTGAAAAACAATCTGTGGGAAATGGATTCCAACTGTTGTGCTGGTCCAGATGGTTACAATGTTCATTTCTTCAAAGAATGATGGGATTTCATCAAGAGAGAAGTCACTTCTGCATGTCAAGAAGTGTTTTTGGGTATTCCTATGCCTAGTGCTGCAAGCAGTTCTAACATCTGCCTCATCCCAAAATGTGAAAATGCTTCTAAACTTTCTGATTTCAGGTCCATCTGCCTCTCAACTGTGGCTTCCGAAATTGCTACCAAATGCATTGCCAACAGACTAAGGCAACTATTACCCCTGATTATTTCAGAGGAACAAGGAGCCTTTGTGCCAGGACGAGAGATCTCTGACCAGATCTTAATCACTAAAGAAATGGCCCATAATATGGACAGGAAAGCAGAGGGGGGCAACATCATCATCAAACTAGACATGACAAAGGCATTTGACAAAGTAAAGTGGTCCTATTTACTTGACATCCTTCAAAAATTTGGTTTCTGCCGCAGTTTCTTACATATGGTCAAAACTGTTCTCAAAACCTCCAAATATTCAGTGCTTTTTAATGAAAAGCCTTGTGGTTTCTTTGGGCAATCTAGAGGAATTAAACAGGGAGATCCTCTCTCCCCTCTCCTTTTTATCATAGCTAATGAGGGCTTCTCTAGAAACATTAACAAACTCTTCATGAATGGTGTCCTGGGCAGGTTTAATTGCGGTAGAAACAGCATCCCCATCTCCCACCTCTCATATGCTGATGATATAATCATTTTCACTAATGCCCAT